CCGCGGTCCCGCCCTTGGCCCCCCCCCTGGGTAAACAGGGTTAAACGGGATCGTAAAAAAAAAAAAAAAAAAAAAAAAAAAAAAAAGGCCGGGCAAAGTGGCTCACACCTATAATCCCAGCACTTTGGGAGGCTGAGGAGGGTGGATCACAAGATCAGACTAGTCTTGAACTTAGTCTGGCCAACATAGTGAAACCCCGTCTCCAAAAAAAAAAAAAAAAAAAGAGAAAGCAGCCGGTGTCACATATTTGCTGCAGCACCTCATATTCTTATGGGAACCAATGGCTCAGCCACCCTTCAGGAACTGGGCAGGCAAGGTGGGTGTAATAGTATTTGATATTATGAATACGATCCCAATTAAGAAATTAAAAAAAAAATGTTTTGAAGGCCGGGTGCAGTGGCTCACACCTGTAACCCCAGCACTTTGGGAGACTGAAGTGGGTGCATTACCTGAGGTCAGGAGTTCGAGACCAGCCTGGTCAACAAGGTGAAACCCCATCTCTACTACAAATACAAAAATTAGCCAGGCGTGCTGGCAGGTGCCTGTAGTCCCAGCTACTCGGGAGGCTGAGACAGGAGGATTGCTTGAACCTGGGAAGCAGAGGTTGCAATGAGCTGAGATTGCGCCACTGCTCTCCAGCCTGAGTGATAAAGGGAGACTCCATCTAAACAACAACAACAACAACAACAACAACAACAGAGGATCCAATGTTTGCTTACCCGTAATCTGTATGTAATCCAAACACCTGGGTTAGGGAGAAACCCCAAATTTACACGTTTCAGCCCCATGCAAACTATCCCAGTAAACAATTCCTCCCTGACAGCATAAGGCCATTGAAGTGTAACTCTGGGAAGAACTGGAGGGAACTGTGCCTGCAGACAGTGGGTCCAGGTGGTTAAGTCTGGACTGGGCCAGAAGCAGTGGTTCACGCCTGTAATCCCAACACTTTGGGAGGGCAAGACAGGTGGATCACCTGAGGTCGGGAGTTCGAGATCAGCCTGGCCAATGTGGTGAAACTCCCATCTTTTGTAAAAATACAAAACTTAGTTGGGCGTGGTGGCAGGCTGCTGTAATCCCAACTACTTGGGAGGCTGAGGCAGATATGCTTGAACCTGGGAGGCAGAGGTTGCAGTGAGCTGAGATCATCCCATTGCGCTCCAGCCTGGAGCGAAACTCCGACTAAGAAGAAAGAAAAAAGTCTGGGCCTGTCCCCATGAAAGGGCTTTGGATCCAGAAAGCCTGTGTCTTTGGAATTCTTTTGTACTTTTTTTCACTTTTGTTGTAGCATATTTTTTACAATATTTTTTGAGACGGAGTCTTGCTTTGTTACCCAGGCTGGAGTCCAGTGGCTCAATCTCTGCTCACAGAAACCTCTGCCTCCCAGGTTCAAACAATTCTCCTTCCTCAGCCTCCCAAGTAGCTGGGATTACAGGTACACAACACCATGCCCAGCTCATTTTTTGTATTTTTAGTAGAGACAGGATTTTGCTCTGTTGGTCAGGCTGATCACGAATTCCTGACCTCAGGTGATTGGCCCACCTCAGCCTCCCCCAAAGTGCTGGGATTACAGGCATGAGCCACTGCGCCCAGTGCATACTTTACTTAAAAAAAAATTTTTTTTTGAGACAGAATTTGGTTCTTGTCGCCAGGCTGGAGTGCAATGGCATATATTTTTAGTTTTTAAATTTTCTGTGCCCTTGGAATTCTGAGTAGATACATGAAGAGCTAGTAAGAACCAGTGAAAAAGCAATCGCCTATTTTCTTGGGCTTTGAAAAATCACTGTGATTCTCTTATGCAGTTATAACTGAGATTAAGATAGCTGACGGGAGAGTGCAGACTGCTGGTGAGGAAGGACAATGAAGAGACCAGGAACCAAATTCACCATCATTATCACGCAAAGGCATTAGGACATGTCTCCTCATGCGTTCCCGCCACAGAAAGACAGCAGGATAAGTTTCACAAAACTTGAGCAGGCAGGTCAGAAGCAAGGCATGGTTCAGGATGCCAGGGGGCAGGGAGTGGGAACGGAGCAGGATGGGAGAGAAGAGTGAGCTGGACCATGACTCAGGGGGTGCAACTGGGGACAGCAGCTCTGAATCCTGCGGCTCTGGGAGAAAGCTGCTGAGATAAGATGGCTTTGCAAGGAGCTGTCCTGTTGCTGCTTGAGATCAGCCTGCTGGGCCTGTGATGATAAGCGGGGCTGACCCTCCGGGGCTCTGTAGCTAAGCCCAAACCCTGCTGAAAATGAGAGGAGGTTGAGGCAGTGTGTGGCACGTGACACAGACAGGGACTCCCAGTGGGGGGACCCTGGGAATTACTGGACATCTCTCAGCTGGTGTCTTCAGCAGTCTTCCGGGCCAACAATCCCACCTGCCTGTTATGGTGGTTGTTGGTATCAGAGCTTTTGTTTTAAAGTGCATGCCACAAACCCTTAAGATGTGGATGGGTTTCAACTGGGAAACACTCCACAGGCGGGATGCAGGCCCACCTGAGGAGGGGCCTGGAAGGAAGAGAAATATTTGAGAGGGGGCAGAACTGAAGCTGGCCAGGGGCTCACCATTGCAGACAGGGTGGGCCAGGGAAGGCAACTCACACCTGGTAGAGGATACCCTTGTTCTGCCTCCGGACAGGAGGGAGGAGACCACCGCATCACCGATTTTCAGCCCTCACATGCCGTCTGGGTGGCTTTGGTGCAGTCACTGCCATGATCTGAGTGGTCTTTGGCAAAAGAGAGACTGACCATAGGCCTGGGTGGGGAGGCCTAGTCACCGTGCCCACAGCTTAGGAAAGGACAGTCAGAGCTCCTCTTTGTTGCTATCAAGGGACTGGGCCAGAGGCCCTGGAGCCATGGGAGCATCAAGTGGCTCGTGGTCGCCAGGCTGCTGGCTGCTGTCCTCCAGGCGGCTGTCCGTGGCGGCATGGTTCCGTGGGAGCCAGCTCTCCACTCTGTGCTGCCGAAGGCTTTCGGTACTCACGAGTCCCTGCATCCTCAGATACCCCTGCTGGCAAAAGGGTGGCAGCTTCTGGCGTGTGAGGGCAAACAGGAAGCAGGACTCTACACAAAAGCAAAATGAGGAGAATGAGCCAGACTGGGTGGTGTGGGGAGGGCTGCAGGAAGGGGCTGCTGATGGCCGGTGTGGGAGCTTCACTGCAGGCCTCGCCTGGTATCTTCCCTCCTTTGAAACTAGGAGCTGACCTTCCTGGGCACCTCACGTCCAACCTGAGTAGGTCAAGAATCATGATCTTCCACAAGGCTCCAGGGCAGGGGGCTGCCTTGACACTTTGGAAGAACAGGCTTAAAAATGAAAGCAAACCACAGCAATGCATCAGCTCTCAAGAGATCAGGGCCAAGCACGGGGCTGTGCAGGCAGCCACAGTGGAATCAGGGCTCTGACCCTTAGGAGCAGCTCCTTGGCCTGTTGCGGCTGGGAACTCGGTCAGTCCCACTGTAAGCTCAGAGCTGCCTGCAAAAACGCATTCTCTCAACATCTGAGTTGCAAATACTGTGTGCAAAGTTCTGATCTAAACAGTGTGGGGTAGAGAAAGATAAACGGGTAAATCCTCACCTGCCCCACAACAGAAAGCTGGTGCGTGCACCAAATTTGGTCAATCATAAAATAGCTGTGGGGCCAGGGGTGGTGGTTCATGCATGTAATCCCAGCATTTTGGGAGGCTGAGGTGGGCGGATCATGAGGTCAGGAGTTCGAGACCAGCCTGACCAACATGGTGAAACCCCGTCTATGCGAAAAATAAAAAATTAGCCGGATGTGGTGGCAGACGCCTGTAATCCCAGCTACTCGGCAGGCTGAGGCAGGAGAATTGCTTGAACTTGGGAGGTGGAGGTTGCAGGGAGCCAAGATCATGCCACTGCACTCCAGCCTGGATGACAGAGTGACTCCGTCTCAAAAAAAAAAGATAGTTGTAGATACTTATCATGTTGAAATATGAAGAGATGGCCAGGCACGGTGGCTCATACCTGTATTCCCAGCACTTTGGGATGCTGAGGCGGCTAGATTGCTTGAGGTTGGCACTTCAAGACCAGCCTGGCCAACATGGTGAAACCCAGTCTCTACTAAAAATACAAAAATGAGCCAGGCGTGGTGATGCACACCTGTAGTCCTAGCTATTCGGGAAGCTGAGGCAGGAGAATCACTTGAACAGGAGGCAGAGGTTGCAGTGAGCCGAGATCGTGCCACGGCACTTCAGCCTGGGTGACAGAGACTGTCTCAAAAAAAAAAAAAAAAAAAAATCAGAATGAAGGTGGGTGATATGGTTCGAGTCTGTGTCCCTGCTCAAATCTCACGCTGAAATGTAATCCCTAAAGCTGGAGGTGGGGCAGGCTGGCAGGTGACTAGATCATGGGAGCAGTTTCTATTTTTTCCTTGAGGCAGTCTTCCTCTGTTGCCCAGGCAGGCTGGAGTGCACTGGCACGATCCCAGCTCACTGCAACCTCTGCCTCCTGGGTCCAAGCGACTCTCCTACGTCAGCCTTCTCAGTAGTTGGGACTACAGGCGCCTGCCACCATGCCCGGCTACCTTTTTTTTTTTTTTTGAGACAGGGTCTCATGCTGTTGCCCAGGCTGGAGTGCAGTAGCACAATCTCGGCTCACTGCAACCTCCACCTCCTGGGTTCAAGCAATTCTCCTGCATCAGCCTCCCAAGTAGCTGGGACTACAGGTGCACACCACCACACCTGGCTAATTTTTTATGTGTAGTAGAGATGGGGTTTCACCATGTTGGCCAGGCCAGGCTGGTCTTGAACTCCTAACCTCAGGTGATCTGCCTGCCTTGGCCTTCCAAAGTGCTGGGATTACAGGCATGAACCACTGTGCCTGGACAATTTTTGTGTTTTTTTAAGTAGAGATGGAGTTTCACCAAGTTGGCCAGGCTCATCTTGAACTCCTGACCTTAAGTGATCTGCCTGCCTCGGCCTCCCGAAGTGCTGTGATTACAGGTGTGAGCCAGCGTCCAGAGCAGAGGCTGCCAGGCTTCCTATACAGCCTGTGGAACTGTGAGCCAATCAAACCTATTTCTTTATAAATTATGCAGTCTCAGATACTTCTTTACAGCAATGTGAGAACAGACGAATACAGTGAGGAAAAAAGTCTTTTTTGTTTTGTTTTGAGATGGAGTCTCGCTCAATCACCCAGGCTGGAGTGCAGTGGCATGATCTCAGCTCACTGCAACCTCCACTTCCTGGGTTCAAGAGATTCTCCTGCCTCAGCCTCCCAGTAGCTGGGATTACAGGTGTCTGCCACCACACCCGGATAATTTCTTCGAATTTTTAGTAGAGATGGGGTTTCATCATGTTGGCCAGGCTGGTCTCGAACCTCTGACCTCAAATGATTTGCTTGCCTCGGCCTCCCAAAGTGCTGGGATTACATGCCTGGCTGAGAAAAAGTCTTTTAGCCAAGTACTTGTAAGACTTTAAACAAACAGAAGAACTGACACAGATAATGGGCTCAGCTTTCTGAGGGCGTTAGACACAGGAAGGGCAGAGTGTCAGAAACAGGCTGGAGTCCTTCCGTAACTCCGAGCAAGCCTTCTCACCTCCCTGAGCCCCTCTATCTCAAGTGAAAAATGGTCATAGTACAAAGGATGTCGCGAGGCTTCCATGGGTGCTCCAGAAATGACTTCCTGTTTATTTCTGACTCTTTGCATGGAGGCCTCTGGCAGGCCAGGCCATGGCAATCCTCTCCAAGCAGGGAAGAGAGCGGATGCGAGAGAGGACAGCGGGAAGACTGGGAAGGCAGCAAGGTGGCTGTTTGGCAGGCATCACCTTCTGATGACATCACCTCCTCTGCAGGGAGCATAGACACCCAGCAGCATCTGGGACCAGCACTAGCAGCTGCGCATTAGCTACAGGAACAGAGGGATGGCTGTCACAGTGCCAGCTGGCTTTCTGCTGGGGGGATTCTCCCCGGTCCAAGGCAGCAGCACACAGTGGCCTGTACAGCTGAACAGTATCTACAAGGTGGCAGACAGGAGGCCTGGGACGATGCCTTGGTGGGACCCACAGCTCAGGGTGAGAATTCACTCCCTCACACACACTGGCATTTCTTTTGTTGTTGTTTTCGAGACAGAGTCTTGCTCTGTTGCCCAGGCTGGACTGCAGTGGCGTGATCTTGGCTCACTGCAACCTCCGCCTCCAGGGTTCAATTGATTCTGGTGCCCCAGCCTCCCAAGTAGGTGGTATTACAGGTGCTGACCACCACGCCCCGCTCATTTTTGTACTTTTAATAGAGACGGGGTTTTACCACGTTAGCCACGGCTGGTCTCGAACTCCTGGCCTCAGGTGATCCACCCACCTTGGCCTCCCAAAGTGCTCGGATTGCAGGCATGACCCACTGCACCTGGTCTAATAGTCTATTTTTTAAGAGAAGGCGTGCATTTGCTTCTGTGATTTCTGCAGCTCAATGATTTCATGAAGTTTGGCCCCAAATTTACACAAGTGGGGCCTACTGGTTGGAAATTTTCAGAGGTTTTTCTCTCCCACTCTATCTAGGGCCAAAAAGCATGCATCTCTTCTACCTCCCCCTTGGGAGGGTTTTGGCCCCCAGCTTCCCTACTGAGATCCAAGCTTTATTTTAATGTCTAAAAACAGGCCTCTTATCCTGCTCCAGCCCTGTCTTCCCACCCCAAAGCGTGGTCCATTAAAGCCCAGGCTCTGGGCTCCTGATGATCAGCAGGGGTCCAGCTCAGCAGGATTTGTGCTTTTTATAGATCTGGCCTCTGGGGAGGCCTTATTTTCCTGCCAGTTCTTTATGTATAGACACCTTTATAGTTTTTGTTTTTTTTTGAGACGGAGTTTCGCTCTTGTTGCCCAGGCTGGAGTGCAATGGCGCGATCTCGGCTCACCGCAACCTCCGCCTCCTGGGTTCAGGCAGTTCTCCTGCCTCAGCCTCCTAAGTAGCTGGGATTACAGGCACGTGCCACCATGCCCAGCTAATTTTTTTTTGTATTTTTAGTAGAGACGGGGTTTCACCATGTTGACCAGGATGGTCTCGATCTCTTGACCTCGTGATCCACCCGCCTCGGCCTCCCAAAGTGCTGGGATTACAGGCTTGAGCCACCGCGCCCGGCACCTTTATAGTTTTTGAACAGAAATCACTACTAGCCCCTGCTAATTCTTGTAAAAAGACATATTGGCCAGGCACAGAGGCTCATTCATGCCTATAATCCCAGAACTTTGGGAGGCTGAGGCAGGGGGATCATGAGGTCAGGAATTCAAGACTAGCCTGACCAATATGGTGAAACCCCATCTCTACTAAAAACACAAAAAAATTAGCCAGGCATGGTGGCACACACCTGTGGTCCCAGCTACTCAGGAGGCTGAGGCAAGAGAATTGCTTGAACCTGGCAGGCAGAGGTTGCAGTGAGCTGAGATCTCACCAATGCTCTCCAGCCTGGGCAACAAAATGAGACTCCACCTCAAAAAAAAAAAAAAAAAAAAAAAAGACATGTTATCCAGTATTTTTAGGTGTGCTGTAATTTAGCCCATGACATTGTCAGGAACGGGAGTCTGGCATTTGGATTTTCAGATACAGGTCCTGAAACTCCATGGGGCTTGGGTCTCCGTGAACTTTCTTCAACCTGGAGCTCAGTCCCTTTGTCCCTCTGGGAGCTTAAGTTACCTGCATAGAAGCTTCGCAAATCGGTGTCCAAACAGTTCTCCAGGAAGCGCCTCAGAGGTAGGATGTGTCCGATCGGGGCGGTCCAGTCTGTCAAGAAGTCTTCCACGATGTGGTGGATGGCCGTGGGCCGAGGCAGGGGCCAGTGTGCAGGGCGGAACCTCACCTCCTGTTCTGTGGGGAGAAGAGAGGGCGCCAGGTCAGAGCTGAGGCTGGGCTTCCCCTCCTCTTGGCGACACAGCATGGATCCCGCTCGCCCCAAACACTTCCCTCATTTGCTCCTGCTCGGCTTTCCCGACAGCCTCCCATGCTGGGCCGCGGTCAGCCTGTTCAACAGTCACCTGCAGATATTTGGAAGGCTGCCACGAGGAAGGGGAACTAGACTTTTCCCTTAACGATTTTGGAAGGCAGTACTAAAATGAATAACTTGAAGCTGGTGTTTAAGACTCTCATGGACTGAGACCTGTTAAAGCTGTTTTATTTTTATGATTATTGGTTTGAGACAGAGTCTCTCTCTGTTGTCCAGGCTGGAGTGCCGTGGTACAATTTAAGCTCACCACAGCCTCTACCTCCTGGGTTCAAGCGATTCTTATGCCTCAGCCTCCAGAGTAGCTGGGACTACAGGTGCATGCCACTATGCCCAGCTCATTTTTTACATTTTTAGTAGAGACGAGGTTTCTGTTGGCCAGGCTGGTCTCAAACTCCTGACCTCAGGTGATCCACTTGACTCAGCCTCCCTAAGTGCTGGGATTACAGGTGTGAACCCCCGCACCTGGCCCTGGCTGCTTTCAAGCTGGCCTTTCTGTGAGAAGACTGAGAGGCCCTGTGTTGACAGAGGTCTCAGCAGTCATCTAGTTCAGCTTTCTCCTGGTGTGGGCTCCCTTCTGTAGTGTCCTAGTCAGGTGGCCATCGAGTCATGACTTGGCCACTGCTGTTTTGGGAAACCTGACTTTGGAGGTGGCCAATTCCACTGCTGAACAGCTTTCACTCTTGACTACAGATGTGCACCACTACGCCAGGTTAATTTTTGTATTTTTAGCGGAGGCAGGGTTTCACCATGTTGGCCAGGATGGTCTCGATCTCTCGACCTCGTGATCCACCTGCCTTGGCCTCCCAGAGTGCTGGGATTACAGGCGTGACCCATCATGCCCGGCCAGCGTTCACTCTTAGTGCCTCCTTTTACTGACCGCAGACCTGCATCCCTGTCACTGCCACCTGCTGACACGTCTTCTGCCTTTGGAAACAACCCCTGTTGAAACCAGCCTCTTCCACCTGACTGCCCTTCAAGCTCTGAAGCAGGAGTCCTGTTCCTGAGGTTGTCCATTTATCGGCAGCTACTCTGTGCCTGCACCGGGCTGGCATTCTGTGTATGCTGTTAGATTTAACCTCATGAAACCCTGCAAGGAAGATACTGTTGCAATCCCCATTTTATAGAGGGGGAGGTTGAGGCTCAGAGAGGTTAAGTAATGGTTCAAGGCCACACAGTAACAAAAGGACAGGCCTGGGAATTTCGCCCAGCTTCTCAGTACCATGTTAACCAGCTCCAGTTCCTTCTACTCTTCAGAAGCCTCCTGCTCCACCATGGTCAGTTTCCTCTAGAGACCTGCAGCGGGGCTGTGTCCCTGTTACTATGTGGTGACTGGTGGAAAGCACGACACTCCCGCGTGGCCTGTGCCGGCCACGGTATGTGCCAGAGTCTGGAAGCATCATTTATCTTTCTCAGACCTTCTGCCCTGATTCATTTCTAGGCAGAGCTCCCCAGCCGTCCCCCCTGGCAGGTGAGCGTGTGTGTAAAGGTTTCAGAGTGGGTGACAACCCTGCGGACGGAGAGGTCTGAGCAGCCAGCAGGTCGGGGGAGGGCGGAGACGCGCTCACCAGTGGGGAGGTGTCTGTAGTAGTAGATGACGGGATGGAGGAAGTTGGACTGCCAGGCGTCTTCCGTTTGCCCCACAGACCGGTTATCAAAAAAGACGTCCTTGTCGGGGCCAGAGAAATTTCTGCCGTATTCCATGATGATGACGAAGAGCCCGTGCTGTGCCTTCCTTCCCGTGAGCATCTCCAGCTGGGCCACCATCTGTAGGGGGAACTCCTCCAGGTACTCAAAGGCGGTGGCATTCCTAGGAGAATGGCAGTGCGGGGGAGGCCCTCAGTGCCGCGGCAGGGGTGAGGGGTGTGGAGGGCGGGTGAGCATGCATGTGTGCGCGCGTGTCACCCCTCTAAGGGTGTCAATCAACTAGCGCACACCTCACTTGACATTACTGTTTCAGCTCGGCTCTCACATGTGGGGTAGAGTCCAGAAAATTCCATATGACTTGGATGGGATATCTGGGGAAAGAGTGTCCCAGGCAGAGAGAACCGTCAGGAAAAAGCCCTGAGGCGTGTGTGAGCACCTTGTGTTCAAGGAACAGAAGAGGCCGACGTGGCTGAGGGGAGTGAACGAGAGGCAGGGGGCAGGAGATGGGGTCAGAGGACTGAGAGGTCAGGTGAAGGAGGGCAGTGCCTCCCGTAACGAGACGCAAGGGGTGGTCTGGTCTGAGAGGTGATGCTGCTGGTCGCTGGGGAGGACTGAACAGAGGTGGGATCAACGTACCTCAGGTTGCTTTTTTTTTTTTTGTGCTGGGCATGGTTTGAGACGGAGTTTTGCTCTAGTTGCCCAGGCTGGAGCGCAATGGCACGATCTCAGCTTACCACAACCTCCGCCTCCCGGGTTTGAGCAATTCTCCTGCCTCAGTCTCTCCAGTAGCTGGGATTACAGGCATGCGCCACCGTACCCAGCTAATTTTTTGTGTTTTTAGCAGAGACGGGGTTTCTCCATGTTGATCAGGCTGATCTTGAATTCCTGACCTCAGGTGATCCACCTGCCTCAGCCTCCCAAAGTGCTGGGATTACGGGCATGAGCCACCGTGCCCGGCCATGTCTCAGGTTTCTAAGGACCACTCTGGTTACCTTGCTGAGAACAGACCACAGGCTAAGTGGGGCAGCTGTGGTATGGGTGCAGGTGACAGAGCCTGGTAATTGGGACTGAGGTGGTGGTGGTGGAGCAGGTGGGAGCCAGCTGGGTTCCAGACATCATCTGAAGGAAGAGGTGACAGGACTTGCCCGCAGTCTGCATGTAGGGTGTCATTTGAGACAGGGGTGCTGGGCATGGTGACTCACACTTGTAATCCCAGCACTTTGAGAGGCCAAGGTGGGTGGATCACCTGAGGTCAGGAGTTTGAGACCAGCCTGGCCAACATGGTGAAACCCTGTCTTTACTAAAATTAGCTGGGCATGGTAGCATGCACCTGTAATCCCAGCCACTTGGGAGGCTGAAGCAAGGAAACTGCTTGAACCTGGGAGGCAGAGGCCGCAGTGAGCCAAGATCGTGCCAGTGTACTCCAGCCTGGGTAAGACAGAGCGAGACTCTGAGTAAAAAAAAAAAAAAATTAGCCAGGCATGGTGGCAGGTGCCTGTAATCCCAGCTACTTGGGAGGCTGAGGTAGGAGAATTACTTGAACCTAGGAGGCAGATGTTGCAGTGAACTGAGATCGTGCCACTGTACTCCAGCCTGGGTGACAGAGCGAGACTCTGTCTTAAAAAAAAGACAGGGGCAGGGGCACGGAGGGTGACTCGAGGGTTTTGTGCAGAGCTCGGCTGTGCTACCTGCATGTCCCGGAACTTGATGTGCTGCGGCACGCCCTGCCTTTGGATCGGGCTGTTCCCCAGCTGAAGGCTGCTCCCCTACGTCCCCCCGCCACCTGTCTCCTCCGTCCCTCATCCCTCTGCACTCTTTCCTTCTCAGGAATTGTCTGTTCTCTGGGATCTGCCACTTATCACTAAATTGACTCCAATGATGGTGGTCAGCGAGGCCCGGCCTGAGGGAGCTCTGAGAGCCACACGGCTGGCTCTCACTACTGCTCATCCACGTGGTGCCAGACACTTTCCATGAGTGACCTTTACTCCTTCCTTCACTGCTGCAAGGCAGGCACAATTATCCCCATTTTGCAGATGAGGAAGAAAGGCTCAGAAAGGCTCATTCATGTGCCCATGGCCACTCATAGGGCTGTCTGTATAGTTGACGTCACTGTATTGCCCCAGAACAGACATCTTTCCCCCTGCAACTTTCATCTTAGGAAGGAACCAGGCACCCCATACCTGGAATAGGAAGAGAAGCGCTATGGCGGGTATCAGTGGGAAACTGGGCTGAGGGGAGTGGGGTGGGGACGGGCTACTCACTCCTTCAACAGGACGACATCGGCCAGCACACCGAACATCTGGTAGAGCCCAGAAGCCTCGTTCACACGCCGCACGATGGAGCTGGTCAGCTGTGTGATGGGGAGCTCGGTGGCCGGCCAGGCGATGCCGTGATGGCGGTGCTCCAGGAGCCGGTGAACAGCACGTGCTGGAACGGCCGGAGGGAGGAAGAACAGCACGCTGCACTTACGATTTTATCTCTGGTCACCAGGAGGGATACCCAGGCCTCATCAACCCCTTAGAACACCATACACACTGGTCTGCATGGCCCAGAGCAAACGTGTAGGCGGTGAACACGCAAGGAGGAGATGGCTGATGCCTTTAGAGCAGGGCCTACAGGAATTTTCTGCAAAGGGCCAGACACTCCATATTCTCTGCTTTGTGGGCCACACACTACTCAGTGACCGGCTCAATTCTGCTCCTAGTGTAAAAGCAGCCAAGACAACAGGCAAAGGAGTGAGCACGGCTGGATTTGGTCTAGAGGCCAGAGTCTGTCCACCCGCTTCAGGCCTTCAGCACGTGGGAGTCCCACCAGCCCTACCGCACACAAGGAATGTCAAGTTCCATACGAAGCCTTCCTCAGAAACCTTTCCCCCTTCACAGTCCTGTTTCCATCAGAGACTCCCATATGGAAATCTTTGATTTCTCCCTCTCTTTTACAGCCTTAAATCCAGCCATCTTTAAGTTTTTCTTTCTTGTTTTTTTTTTTTTTTGGGACGGAGTTTCGCTCTTGTTACCCAGGCTGGAGTGCAATGGCGCGATCTCGGCTCACCGCAACCTCCGCCTCCTGGGTTCAGGCAATTCTCCTGCCTCAGCCTCCTGAGTAGCTGGGATTACAGGCACGTGCCACCATGCCCAGCTAATTTTTTGTAGTTTTAGTAGAGACGGGGTTTCACCATGTTGACCAGGATGGTCTCGATCTCTTGACCTCGTGATCCACCCGCCTCGGCCTCCCAAAGTGCTGGTAAGTTCTTTTTAAGAATTATTTTTTATTTAATTTTTTTTAGACAGGGTTTTGTTCTGTCACCCAGGCTGGAGTGCAGTGGTGCGATCTCGACTCACTGCGACCTCTGCCTCCCGGGTTCAAGTGATTCTCTTGCCTTAGCCTCCTGAGTAGCTGGGATTACAGGCACGTGCCACCACGCCTGGTTAAGTTTTTATATTTTTAGTAGAGACGGGGTTTTGCCATATTGGTCAGGCTGATCTCTAACTCCTGATCTTGTGATCCACCCGTCTTGGCCTCTTAAAGTGCTAGGATTACAGGCGTGAGCCCCGACACCTGGCCTACACTTGATTATATTTTATTTTTGAGACAGAGTTTTGCTCTGTCGCCCAGGCTGGACTGCAGTAGCATCAAGATGGCTCACTGCAACCTTGTATTCCTGGACTCAAGGGATCCTCCTGCCTCAGCCTCCCAAGTAGCTAGGACTACAGGCGCGGACCTTTACACTTTATCTGATACTTTTCTAGACATGTCTTCAGACCACAAAAACCTGTTGTCCCCTCCCCAAGACAGTTTATGACCATGAGCTACTGATTAGCAATCCCTTGATGCTTCTGGATGTAGGAGTACATTTATAAGCCCTGGGATGCTGAAAGTGGTTCCATCTGGGGACAGTGGCCTTCTCAGCTGGGCTCACCTGTGTATCGGAATCCGTGGATGAAGCCCCCAGCAGATTTCCGGTAGTCTACCGAATGGCTGGCGGTACCCAGGACAAACAGACCCCGGCTTCCTTTGGATTCGTAGCTAGCTCGGATCAGTGGGTACTTCTTGCCAAATGCATTTCCCGAGTTAAGTCTGAGGGACCTGTCAGTGGAAAAGGCTGTTCGTGAAAATAGCTGCTATGTAGGAGGCACTTATTTATTTATTTGAGACAAAGTTTTGCTCTTGTTGCCCAGGCTGGAGTGCAATGGGGTGATCTTGGCTCACTGCAACCTCCGCCTCCTGAGTTCAAGTGATTCTCCTGCCTCAGCCTCCTGAGTAGCTGGGATTACAGGCATCTGCCATCAAGCCCAGCTAATTTTTGTATTTTTAGCAGAGATGGGGTTTCACTGTGTTGGCCAGGCTGGTCTTGAACTCCTGACCTCAAGTGATCCGCCTGCCTCAGCCTCCCAAAGTGCTGGGATTACAGGTGTGAGCCACCGCACCTGGCCTCCAAGCACGTTCTTATGTTAATCCTCACAATAACCATATGAGAAAGAAACTATGAATCCCATTTGAGAGAGGAGGATGCTGGGCCACAGCATGGTGAAACAACTTTCACCGAGCTCACAGATTTGTCAAACAGACCTCAGGACAACCCAACACCTGTGATCTGCCACTATGCTACATGTCTGTCTGGGCTGGCCTTTCCATCTCACAGGTGGAGGCTCCCAGTGCTGATAAAGACCTGTTGCTGCTGCTCCAGGACCAAAGGCTTTAGGGGCACCTGCGACCCTCAATGGTCAGAGAGCTCACGTCCTGGAGAGAAATCAGGCAGCACTCACATCCGTTCTTAGGGTACTGTCCCAAGAGCCCTGCCGCCAGCCTACTGAACAGCCACTCTGTTCCCCTAGGGAGGGGTCGGGAGGGGTCAGGAGGGTTTGCTAGGCGATCCCACTTGCTCCCGTATGGAACTTACTTATTGAAAATGGAGAAGTCAAAGTTCCAGCCCAGGCAGCGGATGACCCGATCATAGGGCACGCGCATGGCAAAGTTGTCGTTGTCGTCCTGGGGGAGGGTGATGGAGTCAGTACTCTGGTTGGTGCCGGCTTCTTCCAGGAAGAATTTCAGGGTGACATGGAACTTGCCTTTGCTGTCCTTCAGGATGGCCAGATCCGTCAGGTCAGACTCGAGCAGGCCGTCCAGGGACTTCAGCTGGTAGGTATCCAGCAGGCCATTGTTGATGGCTCTGGGCCCACAGAAAATGCAGCAACAGAGACTCAGAGGAAGGGTGGACAGGGCAGCTGGGGTCAGGAAGAGCAGGGGAGGGGTGGGGAGGCTCTTTGCACACGCTGGGCTCCCAGCACAGCACACACATGCAGGGATGGGGCCTACCTGAGGTCTCCAACGTAGTGGGTGGCCCAGGACAGCCGGACCCGGGAGCGGCTCAGCATGTGGATAAAGTTTGTGACACCCAAGATGTTGTCTGCTGTCTCAAAGGCCGAGTTCCCACGGCCCAGGATCAGCACATTCTGGCCTACGAAGTCCTCAGGGTCCACAGACACGGACTCATAGCCCTCCACGTATTCAGAGCCAGGGAAGTCGACCTGGTTGGGGACTGATAAACCAGTGGCTACAAGGAGGACGCTGCAGGTGGGACAGAGGAAAGATGGCTTAGCCTCTCAGCTGCAGGACCGCTCAGTGAAAACCACGCCCTGGACCCACCTGCCCATCCGCCTCGCTCCAACTGTTGGCCCCTAAAATGCAACAGGACGTTCATTCATTCATTCGTTCATTCATTTGTTTACTGCCTCATTCCGGTGCGCTTGAGAGACTCTGACCTTGTCTCTCTCTGAGCTCACAGTATTTTCCCTAGCACTGTACCGGGGGTTAATTCTGCTCTGCGACAGAGGAGAAGGTGATGCTATGAGAAATGGAGAATTCAGCCGGGCGCGGTGGCTCACGCCTGTAATCCCAGCACTTTGCGAGGCTGAGGCAGGCGGATCACCTGAGGTCAGGAGTTCGAGACCAGCCTGACCAATATGGTGAAACCCCGTCTTTAAAAAGAAAAAATAAGAGAAATGGAGAATTCACCTAACTTTGCACACAGCAGTCAGACCAGGTATCACCCTTGGTGATAAAGCCTGACATTCTACTTTCCCCTTTCTGACTTCTCTGACGGATGCATCTATCTACTGAGCATTAATTCTGTACCAGGTCCTATACTAAGTGTATCTATGTACCATCTTACTCCTCCAAGCAACCTGGAGGCGGTACGTGTCCTACGTTACAGGTGAGGAGACACAGGCCCTGCAGGCCCATGGCTTCAAAGCTCCTAGAGGCAGCAGAACCAGAATCTAAACACAGATAGGCCTGATTCCAAAGTCTTGCTCCTTCCATTGGCAAGGCAGCTGGGGACCTGCATCCTGCTGGCCTGCAGAAGAATGCTTTGATCACAGGGTGGTTTCAAAAACAGAATCAGAGGCTGGGTACGGTGGCTCATACCTGTCATCCCAGCAGTTTGGGAGGCTGAGGTGGGTGGATCTCCTGAGGTCAGGAGTTTGAGACAAGCCTGGCCAACATGGTGAACCCCGTCTCTACTAAAAATACAGAGATTAGCTGGGTGCAGTGGCAGGCGCCTATAATCCCAGCTATTTGGAAGGCTGAGAGAGGAGAATCCCTTGAACCTGGGAAGCAGAGGTTGCAGTGAGCTGAGATTGCACCACTGGACTCCAGCCTGGGCAACAAGAGCAAAACTATGCCTTAAAAAAAAGAATCCAGCCGCCTTCTTCTTCTTCTTTTTTTTTTTTTTTTTTGTTGTTGTTGAGATAGGGTCTTGTTCTGTCACCCAGGCTGCAATTCAGTAGCTTGATCATGGCTCATTGTAGCCTCAACCTTCTGGGCTCTAGTGATTCTCCCATCTCAGCCTTCTTGAGTAGCTGGCCATGGCAACATGCTGCCTAAAAATATAAGAGTGCAAATCGGTGCAACCCTTCTTTCCTTGGGCTGTAGTGGGCAAAGAGCAGGGTTGGGCCTCCGGTAACAGGCGGGAGAGGGTGATCTCTGGTTGAGTGTCTGACTGGAGGCAGGTCCTGGGCAGATGGCCAGGAAGGGAGAGGCAGTGTGGTGCAGCAGAGAGAACATAGCCTTTGGAGCCAGGAAGATGAGAGCCCAATTTGCAGCTCTACCACTTAGCTGTGTGACACGGAACCAGGGACTCAACTTCTCTGAGCCTCTGTTCTTCATCTGCAAAATGAGGATTCCCCATAGGGGCCCCGTGAAGATTAGGCAAGTTTGGGGATGTCTGCACAACATGAAGCTGTCTCCCAAGCCAAAGAAAGCAAATTCGGATTGCTGGAGCACTGCCTGTTGGGCCTCCCGCTCTGGTTCAGTTCTGAAATCCTGCTGGGCCGGTCTGGAGACGTACGACCCAGCACTTTTGGAATGTATTTTAGTCCAGGAGAGTAGTCAAGGAGAGTTCTGTGGGTACCTAAGGTGTGCTTACGTTGAATATTTTACCCAGTGCTGCAGCATGACACTGAATATGAAGATATTAGACTGACAGATCCTGGAGGGAAGAAACTGTTATCCTTTGCCTAACATATCTGACTACAATTTTTTTTAAAGGACACACTGGGGAAATGATTGCTGAGCTGAACCTCTTAGCTCTGAATTTCAGTGGGAATGAGGAGTGGTAGAAATACCCTTTTTCGGCCAGGCACGATGGCTCCCGCCTGTAATTACAGCACTTTGGGAGGCCAAGGGGGGCAGATCACTTGAGGTCAGGAGTTCGATACCAGCCTGGTCAACATGGTGAAACCCCCCATCTCCACCAAAAATATAAAAAATGAGCCAGGTGTGGTGGTGTGCGCCTGTAATTCCAGGTACTTGGGAGGCTGAGGCAGGAGAGTCGCTTGAACCAGGGAGACGGAGGTTGCAGTGAGCTGAGATCCTGCTACCACACTCCAGCCTGGGCGACAGAGTCAGACTCTGTCTCAAAAAATAAAATAATCAAAGTTCAGTTTCTGAAAAAATAAATAAAATAAACGAAAATATAAAAAAAGATATACCTTTTTTCTTCCATTTCTCCTACACCTACTGGCCAACCAAGGTGTGTGGTTGGTTCGGGTGGGGAAGGTCCCAGCTTCCGCGCAGGTGAGCTCTGGCACTGGCCTTACCTGCACTGGTGCACCTGGCCTTTCTGGTCGGTCAGGATGAAGTAGTGGCCATTCCAGGCCCGTTGGTCCTTGTCCAGAGTGACGTGGGTGATGGTGGTGTTGTACAGGACACGGAGCCCCAGCGTGTCCGTAAAGTCGCCCAAGTAGCGCACCATGTCGTGGGCGTCAGGGAAGTAGGCACGCGAGTAGTGTCTGAAGAGCAACCGGGGGTCGTGGCTGAGCAGAGAGTTCCAGTCGTGGCGCAGGTTGAACTCGGAGTTGGCGTTGCCAGTGTACCGCTTGTTGATGCTGATGAGCTTGCGGTGCCGCGGGTAGCGCGTGAAGAAGCTGCCGGGCCTCTGGGTGCGCTCGAACACTGCGTAGTCGCGTCCGGCGCGCTGCAAGAAGTAGGCCATCTGCAGGCCCGCGGGCCCAGCGCCCAGGACGCAGTAGTCCCGGTGAGTGGGCACTGACAGCGCCGGGTGCAGGGCGATGACCAGAAGCAGCCCCGGGGAGCTCCACAGTGGGGCCAGGGCAGAGAGGCCCATCCTGCGGCAGACCAGAGGGGTTAGGCCTTGCTTCGGGAAGGCAGGGAAACACGAGGCCAGGAAAGAGCCGGGGGCCGGCGGGAGCTCTCACCGCAGTCTAGGGCAGGGTCAGGCCCAGAAGCCGCCTTCCCTCAGAGCTCATTTGCCCGACTCCACCGTTTCAAGCTGGGACCTGGGGCTCCCCGGAATCATGAACCCCTCCATCTCATCTCCTTCAGGGTCTTCTTCCCCAGGGGTGCCAGCTCCCCGCATATGAACGTGGTAACCTCCACCCTGGGGAAGGAGAGGGTGCTCCCCAATTTTCTCCCAATTTGAGGGTGCCCAATACCCTCTTGGGCCCCCCCCCCAGGTTGGACCTTCCAGAGGTACAGTTCGACTTGGTCACGCCCCAGCGCTCGGGCTAGAGCCTGAAGGGGGTGCGGCTTGTGTGCGCCCCGCCCCCGGCCAGGATCCACTGGCCCCCCGGCTGTTCGGCCACGTGACATGGATGCCCCCCAAACACACCTGTCGCCAGTCCGCGTGCGCTTTGCTAGCTGCTGCCCGCGCCTGCGCGGTGCCCACGCCCGCAGCTCCCGCCTCCTCGCCGCCTGCCGACCCCCGAGAAGCGCGCGAACCTCCCAGCAACTCCGACTGCAGTCAGTTGTCGAGTGAGGCCGCTCTCGGCTCGCGGGCGCCGCGGCGGCCCCGCCCCTCGCGCCCGGACCAATGGCAGGGGGCGGAGTCACGTGCGCGACGCGCGTCACGCTGGGACCCGCTGGCAGGCCACAGGCTCCAAACCTGGCGCTGGACAGGCACGCACGTGCTGCGCGCGGTGCTCCGGGGGCTGGTGGAGAGGCCTGGGGCTGGCGCGCACTGGCGACGGTGGAAAGGCTGGAGATCCGGGTTGGGGCACTGGGTCCTTTTTAAAATGTGCCTCTCTACACGGGGGCGTGGGGAGCACGTGATCTTTGGAGAAAATTCCAGTTCTCATATTCCATGAATGTAGGCAAACACTAAAACTAGTTGCCCTATCCAGTTTTGTGGGACTGCAGACCAGGGAGGTGGAGCCAGGATAAGCTAATTAACAAGCGTTTGCTACGGTGACTCAGTGTACTGTTTACTAAGTAACATACACGACTGTCTTGATCTTCCACCCAACAGCAGAGGTGGGCAAGGGATTGTTTCCGACATTTGGGAGCTGACTGGCCAAAGGGAGATTTAGAGATGAAGGGATATGATTACAATCACAGGAAGTAGACCCTGGAATTAAAACTCAGTGGAGGGAAGATAAATGGCAGGAGGGAGATGACATGAACTGGATGATCAAGGTTGGCTTCCCAGGGGTGGCATGTGGCCCCTGCATGAGATTTACATAGGAAGAAATATGAGGTCAGTGTAGGAACCTTCAAAGTCCAGTGAAATGGGGCTGAGTGTTCTTGTGGGAAGGGCAGGTGGAAAGAACGGCGATCTTGCAGCTTTGCATGGCTGGAGATTCTTTAATTAAAAATCGTATCCGAGACTCCCTGGAAAAACTTCCGTGACCTCTCAGGCCAAAGTTCATACCAATGTCATTTATTTTCTTCAGTCTGTATCAACATCAGAGAAAAGCTCCTTCAGAGCAGAAGTTGTTCAGTATCTGACATACACAAGTTCCACAGTAAGCATTTGTTGAATAAGCATTGGAACCAGAGAGGCTAGGCAAAATACTCTGCCAAAAATAAGTAGGGATGTCTATTTCTTTTTAAGACAGTCTTACTGTCACCAGGCTGGAGTACAGTGACACAATCATGGCTCAATGCAGCCCTGACCGCCTAGGCTTAAGTGATCCAGCTGCCTTGGCCTCCCAAAGTGCTAGGATTGCAAGGGTGGGCCATGACACCTGGACAATTTTTCAAAAAAAATTTTAGTGGGCAGAGTAGGTGTATAATTTATGGGGCATATGAGATGTTTTGATACAGTTATGCAATTTGGGGATGTCTGTTTCTTGGTGGTTGTGAAGATTATGAGAATGGGTGCTGGCAAAAAGTTCCTAAACTGGTGGCTGGTCTTACTTGGTGAATGCAGTAGTGGGAAATTAAACAGAATTCGTAAAGTATGGCAGGGCCCTAAGACTAGGCTGAACCTAGATTATAGGCAACAGGCTGCAACTGGGAGTTTCTGAATGCAGGATTACTGCAGCAGTCAACTTGGTAACCCCATGCAGGACAGATAAAAGCAGAGGAAAGTATTTTTAGGGAATAAGCCTGAGTCACTTCCACTTGCTTTTCTGTTAATCCTGTTGGAGTGGGCCATGGGTTTGCAAGAGGCAATTTGGTGAACACTGGTCCAACCTGGAAACCTCTGGCACTAGCAACACCACTTTAATCTGTTTTTAAACACGGTATTCACAGTGAAAACTCCCCATGTACACTTTTCTCTCCACTGCTTCTAGAACAGTTCAAGAAATCTTTTGCTTCCTTTCTGAGGGTCGAATTTTTTTCTTTAAAATTGTTTTCGGTGTTTTTTTTAAGTTTTTTTTTTTTTTAAACAGAAACACACACACACAAATATCTGTAACTTTAGAAATGCTGAGCTTTGGGCCGGGCTCGGTGGCTCACGCCTGTCATCCCAGCACTTTGGGAGGCCAAGGTGGGTGGATCACCTGAGGTCAGGAGTTCAAGACCAGCCTGGTCAACAGGCTGAAACCTCATCTCTACTAAATATACAAAAATTAGCTGGGTGTGGTGGTAAGCATCTGTAATCTCAGCTACTCGGGAGGCTGGGGCAGGAGAATTGCTTGAACCCAGGAGGGGGAGGATGCAGTGAGCCGAGATTGCACCATTGCACTCCAGCCTGGGTCACAGAGTGAAACTCTTGTCTCAAAACAAAAAAAAGAAATGCTGAGCTTTTTTTGAGACAACCTCTGTCACCTAGTCTGGAGAGCAGTGGTGTGATCTCGGTTCACTGCAACCTCCACCTCCTTGGTTCAAGTAATTCTATGGCCTCAGCCTCTCGAGTAGCTGGAATTACAAGCAGGTTTTTTTTTTTTTTGAGCTGGAGTCTCACTCGCTCTGTTGCCCAGGCTGGAGTACAGTAGCACAATCTTGGTTTACTGCAACCTCCACCTCTCAGGTTCAAGCAATTCTCTTGCCTCAGCTTCTTGAGTAGCTATGATTACAAGCACCTGCCACCACCCCTGGTTAATTATTTCGTATTTTTAGTAGAGACGGCGTTTCACCATATTGGCCAGGCTGGTCTCAAACGCCTGACCTTGTGATCAGCCCCCTTCTGCCTCCTAAAGTGTTGGGATTACAGGCGTGAGCTACAGCGCCTGGCTGCCTGGCTAATTTTTGTAGTTTTAGTAGAGACGGAGTTTTGCTATGTTGCTCAGGCTGGTCTTAAACTCCTGACCTTAGGTGATCTGCCTGCCTCAGCCTCCCAAAGTGTTGGGATTACAGGAATGAGCCACTGCACCTGGCCTTTTTTATTTTTATTTTTTGGATAAAGCGTCTCCTTCTGTCACTCAGGCTGGAGTGTAGTAGTGTGATCATCGCTCACTGCAGTCTTACTCCTGGGCTCAAACAATCCCACCTCAGGCTCCTGAGTAGCTGGGACCACAGGTGGAAGCACTATGAATAGCTAATATTTTATTTTTGAAGAGACAGTCCCTGTTCTCCTTATGTTACCCAGGCTGGTCTCAAACTCCTGAGCTAAACTGATCCTTCTGCCTCAGCTTCCCAAAGTGTTGGGATTAGAGGCTTCAGCCACCACACCCAGCTGTTTCCCCACCTCTATAATATGATAGTATTACTCCTGCCAGCATCACAGCTCTGCATGAGGCTTAGCTACTACAGAAAGCTCAGCATAATACTTGACAGGGTAATTACTCCGTAAAGTGTCCAGAACAGAACAGTGTCCACTTAAGTTTACATATCCTGGCCAGGCGCGGTGGCTCACGCCTGTAATCCCAGCACTTTGGGAGGCTGAGGTGGGTGGATTGCTTGAGGTCAGGAGTTCGGGACCAGCTTGCCCAATATGGTGAAACCCTATTTCTACTAAAAATACAAAAATTGGCCGGGCATGGGCGTGTGCTTGCAGTCCCAGCTACTCAGGAGGCTGAGGCAGGAGAATTGCTTGAACCGGGGAGGTGGAGGTTGCAGTGACCTGAGATCGTGCCACTGCACTCCAGCCTGGGAAAGAGAGTGACACTCCACCTCAAGCAAACAAAAAGTCAACTTACAAGCCGTTACAGTCATTAGCCATGATTGGACATCCATCAAGCTCCCCGCGACAGCCTCCCTTACCGCAGCAGGCCACCTCATCCATGCTCTGCTTCCTCTGCACTCCAGCTCTCCCAAAGCAACAGCCGGCTCTCGCACGTGGCCAGCAGGCACTCCTACTTGTGGAAATGGGCTTCTTATAACGAATGACGACACCCAGATTCTGAATTCCAGACGGAAATTGCTGGATCTCATCCGCACTCTGCCAGGAATCTTTGAAGAAAGGACTGGAAATTGTACTGCAAGCATACGATGAGGGAGACTAAACATGTATATTTTATTTCATCTGCTACACGTCAGAGAGCAAGTTAGACAACATTCCACTACACATCAAAGGCCCTCGAAGTCTGGGTGGAAGGACAAACTCCGGCTCCACATCACTGGTTTAAGTTTCTTCCTCTGAAAGACAAAAAAATGTAAGAGAAATGAGCCAGGTGGTGTGATATGATGTTCACTTTCCTTCAGTCACCAGCTGGTGGAGCAGGAGAGACAACTTTGAGGCTGTATAACTAACCCGGAGCGGACCTTTTCCCTCTAGACCACGGGCTTCCATCAGGGACTTGCATCATCTTTCTCCACCTCTGGTGCAATCCGGCCACTTCTCTAAAACACCACTATCCTCCCCAACCACTTAATGTGACTGAAGGCTCTGGAAGAAGCTCTTGGAGCCAAAGTGAATGCTTCTTCATACGTAAGCCTCAGAATTCTCAGTTTTTATCAAAGTTAAAGATCACTATGGCCACAGAGCTTGCCCCCTCGCTAGCTCACAGACCACTCTAGACCTCAGAAAGTGGGTTGCTGCACACCTTCTTCTTCCTCTTCCTCCTCCTCCTCTTCCTCCTCATCTTCATCAGAGCTGAAGGTGCCATCGGGGAGGCTGTAGACGCGGATGACCTGTTTGTTGGGGTCCTTGAGGATGAGGTATTTGCCCTCCTCCAGCTTCATGCAGATGTCGATGACGCAGCGCAGGATGCCCCAGGCGTTCTCCACGCTCAGGTTAATCTGGCTGGCAAACTCATTAGGCTTGAATTGCTGGGTACCCAGGATGACGTGGCGTGAGGAGTCTTTCACATGGTACCGAGACACATAACTAATGGGGGAAGGGATATCAGTGGTCAGAGCAAGGCGGCACAGAGACAGCAACACTTGGGCTCAAATGTCAATTAAATGGTGATACCTGGTCCACTGCTATTTTCAAGGGAAATGGAAAACTCAGTCTCTGGCTCAGTTCTGGATTTCACTGACACCAGTGCCTAGTTCAGGACTCAACTGAGCATGCCTGTTGTTTGCCAATCAGTTTTCCAGTACATGGGGAGGGGAGGGTCACCTCTCTACCCAGAGCCTTCCTTTCACAAGATCAGCCCCCAGCTCCTGCACAGGAATCTCACCCAAGCTTGAGGTACTCAGATCCAGCCAGCAAAGCACAGC